AGGAAACCAAGGAGAGATACAGTTAGGGAAAACTTGTTTGCATCAATGGCCTTTTGTACTGATTGTCAATATACTTTAACTACTAGTTACTCTGTACATGCTGAACATACAGGAGTCACTAACTGCAAGGTAAGAAAATTTGAAAGAAATGAATTAATAAATAATGTCGAGTAAAGCGAAGCCAACAATGGAGGGGGGGAAAGATAAAGAAAGATCCAGCTGTCAATATGATTCCTGTCCAGTTCCACAGGTTACACAGCAGGATGCACTATGCAGGTTGACTCGCTAGGTCCTTTTCCTTTTTCCACCTTTGAGATACTTGTCAGCATGCAGACATCTCAGAATCAGGAAATCTCAGGCACATAATCTTGTTGTTGATTGGATAGCAGCAGCCCGATGGACGGAAGGAAACTTAGAGAGCGCCATTAATGTGCCACAGTGCCATGCAGCGCGAGAGCACTCAGGTATTCCCTCGCTTACTACCTTACGGAGTAGTTTGCCTACCAACTAACTACGGAGTAACGCTAACAACACACGGGTGATGCCTCTAGCCTCTAACTAAAGTAACTAGTTACCTCGTACTAGCCTTTTCTTGATGGTCGGTAATGACTGGTTCCTGGACTCGATCAGTGTTGGCGCATGGGACAGGTGTACTTTTACTGCTTGTGCACAGTGGGCCACCTTGCATAGCGGCATTGGATTCAGATAGTGGTCTAGACAATCAACATCGTGCATCATGGCATTTACTATTCAGTATTTTTAACCACTCTTTGCAGCCTTTTGTACCTTATATCATAAGATATAAGTGTATATAGTTGTTGAGATGTTAGACTTGATTTCTTTAGCTTGTTACAGTGATCAGCCTCATGATCAACTGTGATATATTCTGACTCAGTAGCTGAGATATTGTCAACAAAGTCATCTCCATGTGATCAGTTACAGAGACAAATAGTCTTTGATGAGAGGCACACCTGCTACAAACAATGCCTTCCATGACTTTGAGAAGAGTGATCCGCTAGATTAGACGATTACCAGAAGTTGGCAGCCCTGACATAAACCCAAGGCGTGCATTGATTTGTCTAGATTGGATACTACGTACTCAAACCTCGAGATATAAGCTTTCGCTTGCCGGTGACAGCTTGCAGATACTCAAAGTTGTTATGAATGGCCGAGCCATCACTGATCATGTTTGTTTACTGTCACCTGCTGAAGCAATGGCCAATATGACTTTCGCTCACGCCAGACGCATCGATCATTCTGACACAGCTGCTCAGTAACCAATGTGCTCGACTCAAGAAGTGGCCGGCTGACAACATAGGTCTTCGCAGATACCATTTCCAGGAATCAGAACCACAATTACTTTCCTTAAGGATGAGGCCATCGGCCAAGAGACACGTCTGAAGCTGATGCAGTATGGCCCTGGAAATGAGGTCAGGCTGAGCCATCTGACTGTATGGTGCGGATGCTCTTCCTCTTACACATGTCACAATGATCACTGCTATCACATCACTTCAATCCATAGCAAGAAAGAGGCCAGAAGCCGCATAATTTTCTGTTGTTCGTGCTGCGTTGAATGTGCGACAATATGCACCATCAAATCTGTTCTATTGGCTGACACCGTAAATGCTCAATGTAGGATTTGCAAGGTAGAAAAGATCGAGACATGTCCTTCCATCTGGTAGCTGCCCAAGTCTCCGTGGTAAGGTCAATGTCCCCTTTGCTGGTCTATAAGTTACTCAGATTTGCTCTAAGCATATCGCCAAAGCATGCAGAGTTGGATCTATACCCGACTTCCCGTAGCCATTATGGCGCTCATGGGTGATTCAGACAAGCAAGCAATTAATGATCAAAACAGTCACTGGATGAACGCTGTGCTTCAGCTAAGCTTTGAGTTGGGAGCCGTCATCCGTTGCCAGGATGTCTTATAATTCCTTACATCAGTGACCTTTCTAAACCTGTGATTCTGCCCTGCACTGTATGTTTATTACGCAAAAGGTGAAGTAGAAGGCCGCAATGTAGATTTAAACAGTTCACAGCCTAACATTGGCTTATCTGTGAAATTTCTTGGACCTCAGTCGAAAAGGGGATACTTCAAGAATCCTGGAATATGAGAATTCAGAGAGAGTGCCGCTGTCTCCTCAATACTCCAGCTCCGATATAGGTCTTAAAGATACATCCTTGATCTCTGGAGATGCAGACATGCGCTCATTAATTTAGATGAGCTATTGTATAATGTGATGCCCCTTCAATCCTGTAGGGTATGATTATTGGGGCGTCAATTGTCAATTATGATTAAATACCGGCACTAAAGACTAATGGTACATCCTTTGCGATAGACCACCTTCCACATACCAAGTAGAAGAATCACGTAGCTGATCATTGAAGTGACAACTGCTTGTTTCCACTATATATATAGTATTGTAAAACTAATCATCACAGCCAAGAGTTGTCCTTGGAAGGATGTGGCTAGCGCAAAACTCCTATATGGGCTGAAGTATGGTGACCAGTTGGTAATGCTCTCAACCATAAAAAATTTGGGGTCGGTTCTTGAACAATGTCTATATATAATCAGGATCATAGGGTTTGGGTATAGAGGATGATTTTATCCAAGCTATGACGGTGTGACTTACACCATGTCCGATGAAGGACGGACTGCATCAATAAGGTATATGCATTGCTCATAGTTCGATCTCGAATGAAGTATTGACGATCTCACGAACCTTCAAGAGCCTACCTTGAAAACTGATAGATTTAGACCTGTGGAAAAGGAAGCTCCGACCAACATAGCATATATATATGTATATATGGGGATAGATGTTGACCATCTGGTCACATAGCGTCGACCGGATATAGACCTGCCAAGCCTCTAGGATTGCGGTCCCCTGATATCCAGGCAGCAGATTTCAACGTACGACCAAAGCAACTTGCCGTCCCATCCGGCTTTGTATCACAGAAAAGCCACGCAAAGCAGCCACCTGCAGGGTCTCATTGGCCAGAATTCTCATAATATTTCTTCTTGAGCAAGAGCAGATACAATGGATAGATAGGCACTATCGCCATTGTCTCGGCGTCGGATTGATTTGAGAAGCCAAGAATGGTTCGGTCTCCGTGAAAGGTAGCAAGCCCACGATCGCAATGTGCCCAGACAAGGGCGGGGGAAAAGGTTTCATGTAATCATGCATATCTAAGCCAGCTCAGGCCAACTCAGGCCACCCTTGCCTGCGGGGAGTCACCATGCCATGTGGATGAAACACTGTTGTCGATTGAGAGGTCGATCTGGGAACAACGTCCCGCGAAAGTGGCTGAATAGGATGTTTCATGGAGCGAGATGTTTCAAACGATTCCGAGAGATGGCAACTCAAGTCCAGACTTCAGAGTTCAGACAAGCTGTGCGGAGAAAACAGACCCATGTTTAGATGATGAAAATCAGGTAAAGAAGGCAGCAAGCTATGCTGCAACCTCGGTAATGCATCCATATGATCGACGAGATCGACTCCGTAGCAAAGACAAATTTGAGAGACTCCAGCCAGCAAGGAAGGGAACGGTTACCTAATGATATGCAGATAAAGCATGCTGCACCAGCTTCTGCTTCGGAGACACAATGGCAGGATACATATCTCGCCAATCTCTCGGCAGGGCTGGGCGACTGGCTCGGCGCAAAGTTCCATGTCGAGATCTCCTTTCCGGGGTCGGCTTTAATTTCTGTGTAATGTGCCCTCTGAATGACGAAATTCAGGATCACAGAGGAGAAGTCAAGTCATCCGATAGTTTGTAAGTACTATTCCCCTCAGATCTGACGGAGACGGAGTGCAGTAGCCAGGACCTCAATTAATGAGTGACAGACCTAGAGCTGTAGAAAATCCTGACCGGATATACGGCGTACGCATGATACCATACGAGATCTGGCCAGTCCTGCTGCCAAGCCAACGATGGCACCTCCGAACGCGGATCATGGCCACCTTTCAATGCATTCCAACCAATCATATCCCCTTGAGTACCACCAAAACCCCCTGCAGGGCCTTGGCAGCTTGGCATTCTCTCTGGTCGTCGTAAGCCTGATACCGTACCATACCATTAGCGTCTTCGGTAGTCTCGGTCTCTCAACATTTTTCGCGTCTTCCCCCGCCCGAAAGGGAAACTCCCCTAAAGAAACCTAAGTTCCTCTGGCTTCTGCCTTTTCGGGCTATCGGCTGCGACGCACATTTAGAATGACAACCCTTCCCGCGCTTTCTCTCTGTTAAAGCTCGGACTCTCGGACTTAACCAGCCTCTCTCACAGAGATTGGGAGTGAAGAATGAAGAACCGTCTGCTGATGGGACCCTTACAAGGCGATATGAGACCGAAATCGTCGACTTCCATCGTCCATGATGGAGTCCATTCATTCCCTTTCGCTCTCAAGTTTCCTTGGCTCTTGTCTTTTCCACGCTCGATGACTCCTCAACTCTTCTGGTCAAATAATAATGTGACTGTTCTTTGACGTCGTCCATGCCAAGGATCTCGGCACCTGGGCGTCTTGGCGCAAAAAGGCAGGCGCACGCAGCGATTCTCTCCGCTGCAGGGCGCCTTTTCCCCCCTCCTAGGGTCCCAAGACAGCCTTCATTTCTTCCTCTTTCTTGGGTTTCCGCTCATGCAAATTCCCTTGTGTCTTTATGGCACTCTTATAAGGCTCTTCTCGTGTCCTCCGCTCCTCCCATTATCCCTCCCACTTACATTCCTCCCTTGCTACCGGTCTCCCCTCACTCCCCCCTTTGATCACCATCTCTCCCTCTTCCCGCCTTACCCGTTATCGGTGCTCAGTCCGCGTCTTTGAGAGTTCTGGATCCCTTGCTCTTGACGCCATGCGGTGAGCTTGTCCTTGGTTGCTTTGTGTGCACTCCTGTACCACCTTGGTGCGCCTTCCGCCGCATACTTGAGTGGAAATATCTCTCGTTGGCCCTTGTTTGGCTTTCTCCACCGATTTTCTCATATATACTTTCCCTGCCTTCCGTTCTTCGCCCGCCATGAGGCAGCCGGAGATGTCTCATTCTCCTGCTTATTATCAGGACAACGATCAGCTTGTGACGGCATACCTCCAAGATGTACAGACACCTGCCACACTTCCTGCGGTACATCTTCCTCCCAAATCGTCGTCTTCTCGGCAGTCTCACAACCAGAAGAGTGTGGTCAATGTTAACCCTTCGGATCTACATTCCATCCACGACGACGTGGACTCTTACGCTCCTCCCAATACGAGCAATACCCCAAACGATCACCATCGGCACGACCAGGAGTTGCGGAAGCCCGAGAACTATAATCAGGTGCCAGTTGGATTTGTTTATCCGGTCTCTGAACAACTAGTGGTGGCTCCGGTGACGTTTGTGACCCCTCGAACGTTGAGGAAGGTTTTATACTGACTCGCGCATGAAGTAACGGAGCTGTGCGCAAAGACGAGCGCATTCGTGGCAGTTGGACCGACCATTCATCATACATGTCCGGCGACCATTACCCTCATAGCGCCCCCCGCGTCCACAAACGAGCCATACCTGAAGACGGCCCTCCCGTGGATGAGAGTCAGGATGCACTATCGATGCTGGTAAGCCCCCGTCCCAAGTCCTCGAGTCCTTTCGCAGAGGCGTCTCATCAGGCTGACTGAACCTGCCATCTGTATAGTTTCGACTCTCACTTCCCGTCCCCATTTTATCCCTCTGCACATCCTTATATACCGTCTTCGGTCTGATCTTCGTCGTCCTCGTGTCTCCCCTTCGTCTCTGCTCCTTCGTTCCCTATCTTCGCTCGACGTCGTTTCGTGCACAGCTCTGCGACCTTCTAGTGCCTCAGTTGCACATACACGAGCGATTAGTCCGCCTGCGAGGGTCCGCCGCATCTCAATCCTCCTCACATCAATCAATATATAATGACCCTGAACGCTCATCTCCTGCTGAGGCAATGGACTGCTATTCTGTGGGTGGATTATTCATGGTCCTTCTGCTGTCCTCCTTGCTGTCTATCGCATTCCTCCTTCTCGCCTGGACTGCTGCCTTCTTTTGGGTTTTTGCCATGATCCTTGGCAATCCCGACGGCACCGAGCGCAAGGATGATGGCCGTGCGGCGGTTCTTGGCGTCAGTCGATGGTGGCACTTGTGGCTCGGCAAAGCCAAAAAGGCGTCTCGCTGACCTTCCGAATTCATATTCCTCGTACTTTGTTCTAATGATTTCTGAGCGTGGGCCTTTTTGGACGTCTGACTGATCCTGCGTTCTTCATCCTCGCGTCTCACGGTTTGGCATGATACCAATGTTTGGGATATGTGGAATGACTTTTACCTCCCAATGGGCGGCCGTTTCTCCTTTCCTGCGTTTCCCCTCCTCATGATATTCGCTCTCCTCTACTACCTATATAGAAGATTGGAGGTCTGATTGTACCAGGGCGTCGGGAGTTTCGTGCTCTTCTCTTGTGTGAAGGAGCACCCTTGATGATCATGCTCTTTGGCATCCATCAAAAACACCATGGCATCAGGGTACCGCGACTGTGTTGTACTTGTATTTTTTTTTTTCCTATTGCGCGCAGAATGATACCCGGGCTGGTCTCATGTTTCTCAGTCTATCAATCGGCGAGATGTGTCTTGGATTTTCTATTTTTATTTTTTATTTATGGTGACCTACCAATTCTTCATCCATAGTAGTTATGGACCTGAATTCCACTGGCCAATCCTACATAAAGTCTTTGAGCGCTTGGGTCGGATCTGGAGCTACCGACTAGCCTCCTAGATTCGAATTGCGATTTAATGAAAGGTAGGGCTAGGAATACTTTTTGGATTGTTCTTTCAATCTGTGGTGGTTACGTCAATCTATCTCTCGAATGAATAGGTGGAATTGCATATGAGGCACAGGCATAGAAAAGGGTATATGAGATACCAGTTGGTCCGGACACACGACATCAATCGAAGAACAAAAAAAAAAAAAAAAAAAAAAAGGTTGAATGAAATGAAACAAAACAAGTAGAGGTCGTACGCCGTGGACGAGAAACAGAAGAGAATTGCCATATTTTGTCTGTATGCAGTATGCAGTAATACCATATGTTCATGTTCATGTGCATGTTTCAAGTCCCAAGTCCCAGTGTTTTTATGTGGTCATTGCCCGTACTCCGTACATCAGCGTTGAATAGATTGCCAGTCTGCCTTGCCAGAAGCAGGCAACCCGCGTCATCGTCACTTTTACCGTCTCTTCCCAAACCGGATGCCGCCGCGCCCGCTCTGTCTTCCTCCCCTGGGAGGATTTCTCCGTTTCTGGATCCGGCCGTTGCCGCTGGGGCCATGTGTCTTGGGCATTCCGAGCCCGCGACGGGCGGACTGTGGGCCCTTGGCATTGTTGGATGCGGAGGCGGGGGCTTCGCCGTCGTCGTTGTCGTCGAGGTCCATGCCGTCGCCGCCGCTGTTCTTCTTCTTCTGGGCCTGAGACATCTTGAGGCGGCCCTTTTGGCCGCGGCGGATGGCGTCGGGTCCGCTGACGGCGGCCAGGTAGGCGTTGATGCCGCTCTCGCCTGGGGCGGCGTCGCCACCAGGCGTACCGGACATGTCGACGTCGTCGTTCTCCACATCGCCGATGAGGAGGCGGCCGTCCGGGCCGAACTTGGCGGCGCGCTTTTTCCGGGAGCCGGGGCCGGTGTTGAGGAAGCGGACGCTGGGCTTGGTCGTAGAGATGTTGGCCAGCGCGTCGGGGGCCAGGAGGTCCAGCGGGTTGTCCTCCGGGGACATCTCGCGGATGTACTGCTCGCTCTGCTTGCCCTTCTTGCCCTTGCGGCCGCGAACATGGGTGACACCTTCCTCGTCGACGTCGATCTCGCTGGCGTCGTCGTCGGAATCGGAGAAATCCGAGTCGTAGACGGCCTTGTCGAAGGCGTTGTTGTAGGCGGCTTTGCCGGCGTTGTCGGCCGCCCCGTCCTCCTCCTCGTCTTCGTCACCGGCACCTTCGCCTTCCTTCTTCTTGCGCTTGCGGCGCTCGCGCTGCTTCCGGATATTGACCACCAGTTTGCGGTCAGCCTCGCCAACCAGTCCTTCCACAAGAGGTGCGCCAAAACGGCGGATCAAGCGATCCAAAATACCCTTGACTTTACTGCGAAGGCGGCCCTTGTGCTCCTTGTTCCAAACCATGAGGTTGGGGACTAAAGTATTCAGACGGAGACGCAGAACGTCATCGGGGAGGACGACAACGGCGACCTTGACAAAGCCGAGGACAGACCGAACAATTTCCCGGTTGTTACTTGTAAGGAACAACTCCACTGTCTGGACCAGATCAATGCGGACCGAGGGCTCGAGTTGAGTGTGGAAGTCAAAGAAAAGGCGGGAGAGCGCTGTGACTGAGGCAGCGACCATGTGCGGCGAGCTACCAGCCAAACCAGCGGAAACCATGGTGAAAAACTCCTCGATTGTTGCCGGGGCATCGGGGGCGTCGTCGGGCATATGAGGCACCAGAGAGTTGCGAATCTTAGTTCCTGGTGGGTTTCGGTCGGAATCAATGGTTCGCTTAGCGAGATGGATGAGAAGGTCAAAGGAGGCTGTCCGGGCTTTCTCGTTACTCTCTTTGCAACCAAGAACAACCTCAGAGAGGATGGAAGGAATAAAGTGTAGATCGGATGTTGGCAGGTAGGTGATCAGCTCGTAGATAGCTAGGTTTCGATCCCGACGGGCAGAGGCGGGCGTCTTGTCGGCCGTCGCGAGCATGAGAGATTGCAGCTCTGCACTGCGCTCAAGAAGAGCGGTGCGGCCAGTCTCCGTGGTCGCCAACCGGGGAATGAGTTTGTATGCTTTCTTGATCAGTTGCTGATCGGTCGACTGACCGTTCAGAATAGCTGCAGCAAGTCCGAACAGGCTTGCAAAGCTTGAGCGGGGCAGGTAGATCGACATGGCAATGACCAAGTCGATCAGGGTGTGAGAAGTAGGAGGCATCTTGTCGCCTGAGCCGGTCTGCTGGTTTCCCTGCTTGGCAGCTTCCTGCTCTGATGCCACAGAGGACTCGAGCATAGAGGTAACGCGCGCAAATGTTTCATTGAGCTCCTGTTATTCATTCATGTGAGTTGATGGGCATCCGTGAGATTGAATAGAGAATAACAGACCTTTTCGGGGGTAATGCTCAAATAAGCATTGATACACTGTAAAATGTAGCCTCTGTAATGCGGGAGTGTCTGGCTGTAGACATTGAACAGCACAGCCAGTAGATTGCTAGCAAAACCAGCCAAGTGAGCAATGTTTTTCTTCGCAGCGGCCTTTGTGATCCTCCTCTGGAGGATCAGATCGTCCTCTTCCGACTCAATTGACAAAATAGCCTGATTCGACTCGACTAGGGTCTGCAAGGCATTGCAAATGTCAACACGCAGCTCGGTTTGTTTATAGAGAACGTTGGACAAGAGTTCTGCGAAACTTTGATCAAAAGCCTCGACCAAATCTAGAGGAAGCTCGCAGTAGCCAGGGAGAATGGCCCAGGTCTGCTGCACGAGCGTCTCGAAAATCTTCCTCTCCACGGTCTTCTCTGCAGACCCGTAGTCGACAACCTTTTGGTACAATGCTTCGCTCAGAGGAACAAGCTCAGAGCGGAAGTGGGCGAGATTGGTATTGGAAACGCTGTCTCTAAGAATCGGAAGGAACCAGACGCGACCGGGCTGGCCGTTCTTCTGCTGAATGATATTCAGAGGAAGGATTTCTAGTACCGCGGCAGGGCCCATAGCTTCAACAGCACTGCCGAGGACCTCATCAGCCTGCTTCTTCCCATGAAACGACTCATTACTGCGAAGATCTCCAATTGTCTTGACAATGTCGTCAAGAAACGGGCTTGACCGCCACTTGAAGCTGTCGAACATGGCGGAGCAGACCTTGAACACGTCAGCCCATGCTGCTTGGTACTTCACGGAGAGAAGGTCTGTTGCAGCTTTGGCAAGCTTCTCGAGGGTCTTTTCATCGTAGACCGAAGGCTCGAGGATGACATTCTTGGGGATGCAGTTGGCCAAAAACGAGATCAGGCATTCCGAGGCGGAAACGCGAATGTTCATCGAAGGCGAGGCAAGGTAGCTCGAAATCATGTTGAACAGCGCCGGCAATTTTTCAAAAGTATCCTCTGGGTTAATCTGCGCAGACACATCATATCCACGGGACAAGACCGCAATCCAGGGAGGGAGCAGCTGCGAATCGTTCTGAGCAGGCTTGAGCTCGGAGATAGCGTCTAGAAGACGGGGCAGCTTCGACGACGAGAATTCATCCGCCATGCTGGAGAAGATGACTTCGAAGACCTCAAAAGCACCCATTGTGATGAACTCGTTGCTGGACCGAGACGCATTCATCAGCAACTCACAAAGCGGTTCAATCTTCTTGCTCGGCCACCCTCCCGATGCGATTGCGATCGTCTTCACCAGCTGGAGGGAGTGGATTACCAGGGGATCATGGTTCTCCCGGCTTTGCGCATCATGACGGCCCCGTTTGTGCTTGGCCGCAGCCGCGATGCTATCACCCAGTGTCCGCAATCCGGTTTCTGCGCACATGTCCGCCGCGGGGTGGTCGAGCGAAGGGCTGGGAGGAGGGTTCTTGAGGACCTTAATGAGAGCTTCCTGCGCCCTCTTCCGTACTTTGGGTCGGTGATCCACCGCCAGACTCAACAGTCCCGCAATCGCCCGGCGCGGGCCAACCTGTGTGTGTGGGAGGTTCCATGAGGCGGCGTCCTGGGAGATGAGCAGCGATTCGAGGCAGCCAATCGATGGTCTGAGGAGCGGGGCTTCGACTTCCGGCAGAGAGAGGGCGGGAGCAAGGCTGGTGAGGATCTGAGAGAATTTCGAGCGGAGAATGGGCGCAGGGACGTATTCGGTTGTGATGTCGAGCAGGTAGACGACAGAGGTCGCTAAATCTTTGTTGACAATACCCTGAGTAGCTGACACCGACTGCGTCAACAACGCAAGAAGCGCTGCGAAATAAGCTGTCGCGGAAAAATCTGCCTTCTGGTCGCGAAGTGTATCTTCCACCGCAGAGAGCACCACAGCGGTCTTTAAGATATGACAAGGTTCATCCGTTAGCAAGCTATGGAGAGGAAGACGGTGAGCGGAAAGCCTAGGAGGGGACACACATGGTGCTGATTCTGCAGCTTCGGAGACTTGATCTTCTCGAGCTTCTCCGCCAGGGTCGCCATGATGGAAGGACCGACCAACGGGCAGTTGAGAAGTCGTTCAGAGAGGTGTGATGTTTCTTGTGTTGAGAGTAGAGACCTGCAAAAGAAAAAAGAGGAAGTGGTGGATGCGGAGATTTTTTTTCTACGATTTTAGTGGTCCGAACAAAATTTTGGGTCTTGTCGAGGTACTGCGATTCTTGGCGGGCCTATCGATAACACCAACAACACTCAATAACTAAGGTAGATCCGGTCAGAGTATAGAAGAATTTATCATTCGTAATATCTGCTATGGTTTGTGTAAAGGTGCAGAAGTAACGAGGATCCAAACATGAGATGTCTCGAAAGCGTTCTCTCATGTCTCGCTATCATGGTATCTCAAAACAGAACTCAATCATGCCAATGAGCTCCACGCCTCTAGGCTCACTATGTCTGCGTATAAGGATGGAGAAGAAAAAGTAGGCCATCAGACATTGCCTTTCGCCCTCGGTAACATTGAAGATATGCATCTCACAACCCTTATCCCACGCATTGGCTGCAACGGCTGCCTTTAAATTGAAGACATCCCAGCTCTGTTTCGTATGGGTCTAACCTTCCCCGTATTTCTGTCCTTCCATTCCCTTCCCGTGCTGTCGTTGCATGGCGAGAGAGTCAAGAAACAGCATTGCCCCCGTCATGTTGTTGAAGAGCATGCCTTCTGATCTCGACGGTCAATATAACGCTCGAAACCCGAGTGCCCGTCGATTTTGCCAGAACCATCTCTTTTTGCCTCTTTTCTTGACATCGTACGAATGACGCATACACAGAGGTGTCGAACATAAGCGAATCCGACGTCAACGGCTAAAACAGAATTTCCCCGCTGTGCTCGGGTTCGAAACCGAGACCTTGGAGTTTATGATGGCTCTTCTTGTCCATTGTTTTCCGCTTGCTGTCCTCCTTCTTCTTTAATTCAAATACTTCTTGGAAGGGTACTTTCTGGAGATGAGGGGGAATATCGTCTTCTTTATCGAGATCCTGTAACCCGGCGAGTCAGCGAACGAAAAGACTAAGAGAGGCAAAGCAGCTGGAAGGAAGGACAGTCCGTCATACAATCTCACCCAGAAGCAACACATTCTCTCCCCGGACAAGGAAAATGCCTCGCGGAACATCGGCGTAAAGATTTCCGGCATAGAGTCGCTCAACGGTATCTTGGAGGACAAGGTTCGCTGTGGCCATGGCTCATGATTAGCTGATTCGAGAACGAGGCCAAAGAAGCCCTGCGACTCCGCCCGGGATCATACCGAATTGATCCCAACTTCTGAGCACGCCGATCAATTTTCTTCCATCGCGAAGCACTAAAACAAGTTTCTCTTTACGTCGCCGTTAGTCGGGCCCGCACAACAATGGCAATTTCTTCGATCTGCAGGGTTTCAGGCAAACCGCTTCAACGTACTATCTGTCAAATCCAGCAATTGGGCGGCGGTAGTGAACATCTGCGGGGGTAATTGTGGGGGACCATGTGTCATTGGTGCAGAGGGTCCCAGCAAGTTGTTCTGCTGAGGGAATGACTGCGGTGTATTCCCACGCTGAGCGCCTGCAGGAGGGTTGTTCAAAGAGAGTCTCTCCATGGTTATACGGGAGGAATGATGGCGCAATGAAAGTGATGATTCGTAGGGCGGAGGGGCAGAGTCGCGTGTCGGTTGTAATGGAAAGGCTCGATGAAGCCTCTGGTCGGAGATATTCAGACTAAGAGAGTTCGCAGAAAATTGTCATTCTGCGAAAAAAGGCTCAAGAAGGAAAGGTGCGATATGATGTCGAGCTGTAGACTTGACCGCGAATTACTGGCTCTTGATCGGAGATCGCAAGGTGTGCTGGAAGTGGGCGACAAGTTTGTCCTGTTTGATTGAGGGAACATTTCCAAGCGCTGCTCCAGTTGGTCATAGATATAGACACCATGCATGGATACTATATACCTAGAATTCAAGGGCCTTTGGAATCTCAAAACATAAAGATCTCGTACTTGTATTGTATCTTATTATTGTCTGTGCTCTTGAAGATGTTGAAACTCGGTGCCACCAGGAGGTCAATGAGTCCTTGTTCATCTCGACATATTTTGCTAAGAGAGCATCAAGGGGATCAAAGAGCCACAGACAACTACAGAGGCAAAGATCCAGACTATATATGATACACCAAATTCTACCACGACCAACTCAGACCAGACAACTTTGCCCAGATTCAGTGCATACTGAAGCACCACAAGAGCAGCCTAGTAGATAACATGGCTCAGTGCCTCTATTCGGTGCTCAATCGGGCCCATATTTATGACCATGAGATACATCTCATTCTGATGCTCACCGTCTCTCTACTTGACAGATGCTGAGTGGATATGTCAATTCCTTGTCAGACACCCTTGTCAGGATGACTTCTTGACAAGTAATTTCTTCTTCCTTCCAGTTCCTTGAAAACACCCGCTAATAGACAAATCGACAGAAAGGCGCAGTTTGAGACCACGGAGTAAAACTAAACCAAAGCCCTAATATATACTAAGAAGGTAGGAAATCGCGCTTCAAGCAGCCAGTGATAGTACCCGCCCGGCCAGGCACGGTTCCTCGAGGAATAATCTCGACACAGCGAACGCCAGAGAACTAGGAAAAAGCAACAGAAGCAACAACTATCTGAGCATTGAGAATCATTCTCAGTCAAAGAGGACGGGCTTTGTCCAGACGACCTACACCCTTACACGATGGCACCTGACCTCACAGAACGATGTTCCGTTCATTTTGTTTATGAAACACTGACGCCTCGATGTTGACCCCGCATTCTTTGTTCCCTCCTTCGACTGTATGGAGCGCAGTATGGCTCATCTGAAGAGCCGATATTCGCCCTGACCGTCTCCTGAGACCGATGATACGCGGGACTCGTCGGCGGCGGCGGAAGTTGCATCACCTTGAATTGATCAACACTGATGATTCGCAAGCGGTACAAGTATTGCATTAGCTCGAAGTCGGGCCGACTGCCCGCCAACGTTTGACCCTGCTGATAATGTGCTACATCGACATGGTCGAGCATGAGGTCCCAGGCCCTCCGGTCAGGAGCGTCGTTGAACCGTTCCCCTGGACATAATGGGCACCGGGCCGTTGTAGGTGGCTCATGAGTCCGAAAGTGGCTGAGAACATGAGTCCTCCACTGATCGGCGTCGTCGAAAGTCTCACGGCAGTCGAGAACGTGGAAGAGGCATGTGTAGACCCGCTGCCGGCGGTGCGGGGGGCGGAAAGGCACGACGAGGACCCCGTTTCCGTCGTCCTGAAGGATTTCATGGTGTGCGAGTTCAGAGGCCAGCCCGGTGTCCAGGGACACGCTGGATGATGATGCAGACGCAGACGCAGCGTCGCTTGATAGGGACGGGACTGCGTCCAATGACGCCGTGGATTTGACCATGGTTGCACGATTACTATGGCTGCTTGCACTCTTTCCTGCGTCGAGGGTATAACACTTGGACTCGACACAACCCGCACGACAGCTGAAGCGGTCCTGCTCTCATATGTTTAGTCTGGAACTAGCGAGTGGAGGAGGATCCCAGCGCCTGATTGCGACCGTTATTTTTCATCATTCCATTCCCAGACGCAGCGAGGGGTTCACGAAATGAAAAAGAAATAAAATAAAAAAGAATAACCCCATCGGGGGAGAGACACTCATTACCTTTGGTACCTGAGATACGATAAGCGTCTGTGAGAATCCACGAGAGAGAGCAGGCGTGCCTCCCCCCATCCCAGATTCCCCTGAGCGCGAAGAAGATCGATACTTTTTTTATTTTCTTCACGGAAATCCAGAAGCGACACCTCGCACTATCACGCGTCAACTCCTCATGGGAACTCCTCCGATTTTAGATCCTGGAGATCGTGGTGGGGTAATCACCGGCCATCATTGATTTTAGAGCCTCAATAGTCATCATAGCGGGGGAGTCAACTGGACAAGGAGAAGAAGAAGAAGAAGAAGAAGAAGGAGGTAGATAATCGGAAAGTATTGCAAAAGATACGGTACCCTTCTCCCGAATTCGAACGCTAACAAGGGAATTATGTAGAGGATAAATGAAACCCTAGGTAGCCCAGAGCAAATCCTGCCTGAGTGATACTAACCAGCCTAGAAAGGCCCGATCAATTCAAGGCATCACACTGGAGCCACGTTCTCCCGTTGGGCTGACGGAGTACCTAATTCGTGAATCGTGCGAGAAGAGAACGACAGCGCCGGCTATGATTTGCAGACGGCAGGCCATCACGACATTGGCCGATAAGTCGAGCGACTGTCTTGGCTTCCTTACGGTTCATTATGGCGTCTCCCTCTGACTAACTTGAAAGGGATGAAGACCCTTTTGTGAGAAAGCCATGGGCCCATGATAACGACCTAGTACCTAGGTGCTCGCATACTGTAGCGAACCGGTTTCCTATCTATCCCTTCAGCATTGAGTCGTCATGAATGGGACACGGGGATGATCACCATGGCATGGCTGAATGCCGGTCGCAGCGACCAATCGCATTTCAGCAAGCCCTTTCTCATTATTGGAATCAAGCGGAGGACTTGGATTGTTGAATAACAGGTAGGTGATCCCTCCAGCTCTAACCGAATGCAAATCAAATGGAAAGATGGAGATAAGTTGGCCGAATTTTATAGGCTGGTTCCTGCTTAACGACCAAAGGTAGCGTACCGTTTTACTTGAGCAGTTCAAGCTCCAGTTCGAGATTCATCACATGCAGATGCCGACAGAATCACATGGTAGCCAGTCCAGCATCGGGGATCCATCTAGTACGCAGCGGGAGATGCTCGATCTACGGACTACAAGGCGAGGATGAACGTGATTCGAGACGGGTGCTGCTCATTTCAGTACCATTTCGGATCTATTTCACAGAAGAAAACAAGGAGAGGAAAAAGTGTGACATGATATGATTCATATTATTCAAAGGCCGTAGCCTTGGAGAGGAGAACATAGTGAATAACGGCTGAGAAGCCAGTTTCAGATAGTTAGAGTTGATAGGAGAAGCAAAAGGGGAGTCAGGTAGAAAAGTTAAAAGGAAACATCCACGAAATCCGCCAGTCTATAGAGTAGTGACGCCCTGCAGAAAATTCAAGAAATGAGAAAAATAGAGAAAGAACACCATCCAGCCGACACCTGTGATGCCCAGAAACCATCCTGTAAATGCACAAGTCTATTCGTTTCGTGACGCGCATAAAAATTTGGAATGAGTGAAAACTCGCTTTTTTGTACACATGAGACATCGTGTAGATTCAGGCTGCCTAAAAACGGTCCCCCAAATCACCGCCGGCGACAGAATTGCTGGCCGAGGACGACACTGATGTGAAGCCACCAGGACCCAACATGTCCTGGACAGCGACCTTGGGTACCTGAGGGACGGGGAGTTTGCGCTGCGTCCCGTCCGGTTTCGACATGATGTCACTGATGCTAGGACCAACGTGGGGCTGAGTAGGACTGTAGTAGCTGGGCCCCTCCGGTTGCGGTTCCATTGGAGCCAAGGCGGGTGTATGATGAAGTGACAAGTGACGAATCGAAGGGAGTTGTAACTCGCTGGTGCCGAGAGGCCTTAACCGCGGAGAGTGAGCAGGCGTCGCCAGCGGAGTGTGGTCGGGGGTAGGAGAAAGAGAGTCGTGAGAGAATGTAGGCGAAGAGGGTGCCGTGGAGTTGGGAGAGTTGGGTCTCGAACGCTTGACGCGGTGCGAGTAAATATCCTCCTCGTCGTGCGAGTGTGAGCGCGTCATATTATGCGAGATAGCGTACGCCGAGAGCGACGGGAGGCGGTTGCTGTTGTGGTGACGAGAGCCGAAGAGATGATGTCCGCGCGGGCCGTTGTGGAATCCATAATGTTCATCACGCTCAACCTGAGAAGCTGCCGTAGCCAGCAGATTGATGTCCATGCCCGACGATGCACGCTCACTGTTGCGAGCATAAGGTCCCAGATTCGATCTCAAGTGGGCTGCATAATTGGAGAATGAATGAGGGGGAGAGATGTCAGGAGAGCCGACCTGCGAGACAGGCGCAGAACGCGTGATAGGCTTGCTGGGAGGTGGCATCATTGACGCAGTGCTACTGGCCAAAGCACTGTCTTGATTTGCTGCGGCGGCGGCGGCAGCAGCGGCCAGGTGCTGAGCCTTGTTGTTGCGTCTCGAATTGGGATTGTTATGGATTCTCGAGTGGCGCGTGAGTTCATCAGATCGGCTGAAGCGCTTCGTGCAACCTGGAAACTGGCAGGCGTGCGGCTTCTCACCGGTGTGTGTGCGAATGTGTCTGGTTTGATGCTCCAGACGATGAAATGCGCGGTCGCACAGAGGACATTTGTAAGGTCGAGGAAGATCCTGACGGGGCTCTTCGTTCGCCGGACGGGCTCCCTTCATCAGAGGAGGCAACAGGCTTACGGAGGAGGCCATGTTTGAGTTCGACAGTCCACTTGATGGGGTGGAGGGAGCTGATGACTGGTTCACAGGTGTGGAAGGAGTCGACTCGGTTGGGTTCTGAGGGTTCAGTAGATCAGAAAAACCCATAGAGGAAGCTGGTGGCGGCATGTGAAGCTTGACCTAGTTCAACGCCGAAGAGAGCAAAGATGAGTGGAAACCAGTGTTA